GGTGGAAGGTAGAAGAAAAATGTTCCTATCAGATATTATCCTGAAGACCAACAGCTGTGACAATTGATCTCACAAGTACTGTTCACTATCATTGTGTCAAATGTCATCAAGGAAAACAATAGCTAAAATATATACCAAATAGTTCTGTGAAGTTTTAGAAAAAAAACTTGCAAATCAAATTCAAAATACGAAACAATAACTAACACCACAGATTATCATGTTCCCTATCATTCTGCAAATAAGTTTAATGTTTTTAGTGGCAATTCATCAATTCATTTCTTCACGTTATTTATTTATTTTTTATCCGAAACCACCAACTTGAATGTAAATATGAGAGGACTAAATCAATCACTTACCTCTCTGCATGGAATCCGTAGGTTCGTTGTCATACATCACGCCACCATTCCACATAGGGGAGGTCCCCAGGTTCATTGTGGTCACTTTGACCGGTACCTGGGTCTTGTATTGACCGATGCCAGGCAGCGTGCCATCTGACACTGGCCCCTGGGCAGTCATCACCGGCTGTGTGGGGATCACCAAACAAACAGCATATAGTTAGGTCATTATACAGGGCCTGACTAAACAAGGGAGATCATCCATCCAATCTTCATGTCTAAACAAGGCCCAGTGAAGCTGTTATTACACATAAATACAGCCCAAACTGCACAATAAAATGGTAGTCTCTATATTGAGAAGATATTTTTATTGTCATTTAAAAAAAAATTAAGCTTGTAAAACTCTGGACCGAATAAAATGTTACCAAATTAATTTGAAGTACTTCCCAAAGTGATGAACCTTTGATGAAGTGAACACAATGTGAGTACTGACCTGTTGGTCCATGAAGTAGAGTTCTGCCTTCGTCCGTTCTTCCTCACTGACCGGTAGTCCGTCAATCACCAGTAACTGCTTCAGCTTAAATACCAGTATTGGGCGATGCAGGTGTCGACGAGCAGCCTGTAACAACACAGTTATGTATTAAATGGAGATAACATGTGTTAGGACCCAGTCACACATTCACGGATCGGACGTCAGATTAGCCACGGATACGACACAGCATCATTCTGTAGTGGTCCGTAGCTGTCCATATTGTATCCTGAGTCAATCGTAGTAGAACTTGTATATCCATGACAATGTTTGAGCATGTTCAAAACTTCACCACAGATCACACAACCGTAGTGCATCCTTACTGATCCATAGTAGAACGTACTAATCCATTGTAGTTCATAATAAACCATAATTATCCATACTTATTTGAAGTACATCCCCGGTCTCAAGTTGCCAAGGATCTGTACAGTTAGTTACAGTGAACTAACCCGTACTAAAATTAAAATTAAGTTGTGGAATGAACACCTGAGCGCAGGAGTGTGTAAATGGATTGCTTACCGTGGCAAGTCTGTGGCTCTCCGTGAGAGTTTGTACTAATTCGTGCCAGACCGTTCTAATTCATGCTAATCCGTACTAAATCGTAGCATATGCCATGACATGTGTCATTCCATACTAAATTGTACCGACCGTAGCAATCTGAATCACTCCCCATTTTCAACTAGCCCCTATCTGTAATCAAGCCGTGGTGTATCTGTAGCAGACCACAGATGTAGACTATTCCGGGGTCATCCTTGAGTTTTCATCCCTAGGTGGATCCGGTGAGACGATCCGTGAATGAGTGACCGGGACATTACATATATTGTATGTAATGGTGGAAATTAATTTACTCAACACGAAAATTTTCACTTTTACAGAATCAGTTGGAGACAAAAAAGTTTGACATAATTATTAACTGAAAAGAATGCATGTTTATATGAATATACTTGAAGAGTTCATGTTTTATATATCAACTGGAGAGCTACACATGACATGATGTTTAATAAACTAGGGATATTACTACAGATATGCTTTATATCTAAACTGGCGACAAAGACAATGATTTATAAACTGAGGAAAACACCAAATCATTTGCAGAAAACAACAGATAACATTGATTGATGTGTAAAAATCTAAATATCACATATGAGGATTATTATACATGTTAAATGTTTCATTTTTTTTATAAAACTTAACAGATTGTTTTCAAATAAAGTACCAAAGTTATGTGGACTTCTGGTCAAAGCTGACACAAGTTAATACTCACAGCATTGTTGACAAGAGATATTTCAATCAAATTCACTAGGCCCTCCAGTTTCTGTAGCTCTGACACTTCCTGAAAAATTAAATTTCATAAAAATTACAGAATCTAAAATTTTACTAACAGTATGGTAAACAGAATTGGCAAAACACTGTTACCAGTCATAGCTCCTGTTCTAAAACCCATTACCAGGGTGACGGATGTAAACCCACCTGTATACGGTTGGACCCTAGGTACATCCTCTGAAGATGTTCCATACAGTTGAGATTGGACAGGTCCCGGATGCGGTTCTCCTCCATGTGGAGCTCCTGTAAGTTCCACTGGTTGGCAAATGACATCTCGGAGATGTTCTTGATCCTGTTCCTGTCTAGCACCAGTTCTCGTAAATCATGTAGCCCCTCAATACCCTCCACTTTAGTGATATCGTTTCCTGAAATAGCACCAATGTAAGCAATATAGCTTTAACATTGCTATGAGAAAACTTGTGGAACACTTATCACTTCTTCATTAGGTATATTAACTTTGATTAAAACAAAGACCATGGAGAGACAAATACCTTTCCTCCCTCATAATAAGTCAATTACCTCTAGGTCTTCTTACTCACAATATAAAAGGGATCGTTGAATACTCACGGTTGAAATCGCTTCAGTACTCACTCATCATGTGATGAGCGAGTACCGAAGCGAAATTAACCGTGGGTATCCGACGATGAATAGAAGGTATCAAATACCTTTTTTTTAACAAAAAACATGGTCATATCGTTCACAATCCTTTTGGGTTTTTCTTCTTCAAAACTTGACACTCCAGATTTGATATCTAGAGGTTAATCATTTACTGAACCAGACACATTTAAACCTAATGAGAAAGTGTTTGGAAATAGTTAATTGTAAACACCCACAGTGTGTGAAACTCACAGGAAGCCCAGAAATATTGATTCAAGGAGGATTTCCTTTTTAAATTATGTCAATCCTAAGTTTGCTACATATTTTCATTTAATTTTGAAAAGAGGTTGTACCATCATGATCAGCCAAGCAGAATTATACGTAAACATCAGTAAACTTTAAAGGACAATGATCACATATGATTAATGCTAGTAACATCAAAGTTTTCCTGAAATGCAAACTTTTTCTGGTCTGATTATTACATCTGACAAAACCGTGTGATCTGTCAGTACTGACCTTGAAGGAAGAGAGCCTTCAGTGAAGTAAGCCGGCTCAGCTGTAACGTAGCCATGTCCTTGATGCTATTGTAACTGTTCAATAAAGAAACTTTTTATTTAAAAGGTAATAAAGATAGAGAAAATATATATTCTAACATAACTGTTATCTTAAGAAATCCCATCTTTTATCTCAAGTAATTCCAATTGACCTTGCAAAACAGAGGCCATATCCGCTTCCATATATACTGCATTATTGTACCTACCCTAAATGAAGCACCTCAAGATTCTCCATAATAGGGGTCAAATTTCCGTCGTTAAGAAAGTCGAGGTTCCTGACATTGGCCATGGTGACTTGGGTCTTTTGTCTTGGAACAGGTTTGGATTTTGGCATGATGCACTCTATATGATTGTGGTTGAGACAAAGCACTCGTATGTTTGGCAGGTGGATTAGGCCACTGAAGGAGGTCAGATTGTTATGTTCTAGGTTTACACTGAAAAATAAATAAATATAGCATTATAACTCAGCAAAACAAACATATATAGACTGTATGCTGAATTATCAAACAGGTCTGATGTGCCATGAGGTCAAGTTCAAGTGACACCTATTTAAGCCTGTTATTTTGAACTCAGCTTTGACATTAGTAACAAATAGGGACAACTTGAGTCAGCCCTCTACACAATTTGGTAAACCAATCAGCTGGTCAACTTATTAATGCCAGGAGATTACGACACAGCCTATTTCAAAACAATTTGACGAAAAGGATGGTCACTTCCAAAGTAACCATCAAAGGTAGAATAGTTCAAGAATCAGTTTGATGCAAACTTATAACGGGACTGTTACAACTAGAACTGTGTACCAAATAAATATATATTGTCTTTTGCATAACAAAACATGAAATATAAGAACTTCTTGTAAATCTGGTTCCTTGGTAATCATTAGATATTTGGTATGTCTTGGTAGTTGGTACAGACACAGTACACCTGTCACTTTGTCTACTTGTTTTATGATTACCTGCGCAGATTGATGAAGGTATCCCCAGCTCCAAGGTCGACAATCCTGATGGAACAGTTGGGGAGATCAAGCTCGCGTACATCCTGGAAGTTGGAGTGGCTTAATTTCTCTGCCACGAAGTCTGGAGTGAGGCGGCCTCCAAATGTATCTTTAGCCATGCTCCCTTCTGTGGCCTCCTAAAAATCACAACAGTGTAAATATTTTGAATGACATGAACAATTAAAAATATACAAAAATCTTTTACATTCAAATTTGTAATATTGTTTTCATATTCAAGGACTTTGGGTTGGAATAAGATTTCTTAATCTGCTTTCAATACAAGTAAATGCTATTTGGAATGTTATGTGGAACAGTACAGGCTTACATAAGTAATGATACACCGTACACATGTATGTATCTAGTTAAATTTATCAATTAACTAACAGCGTGACATCAAATAAGTGGAGAGTAATACTATTGATCTACGAAGTACATGTAACACAAATGAAGTAAAAAACAGTTAAACATTCAGAAATACATTACACAAACAAATATTTGTAAATATAAGAACCCATGCATGCATTATGAATGGTTATATATGTGTGCATTTCAGCCTTTGGTTAACATGGTGCATTATCAGGCTGGGATTTTGCATGAAAGGTGAGGTAACACAAGTGAAACACCAAGCTTTCAGTTAGCACACATTGTCCGAACTTTCTACATATATTCTGGTATGGATTCCACTTTTTATTGTCTAAATTTAACGTACAAACTTCAACTGAACATGTATTTTTTTGTTGATTTTCAAAATTTTATAACATTAATTCTAAAATACAGACAGAATTAATGTACAAAGTTAAAATTATATGCAAAATTTGAATTTTTTGTTCTGTTTTCAAGACAACGAGTTCACCAATCTTTGTTGTGCACCATGGCCAGTAGTCATTTAGCTCCACATATTACAGGGTTATCCATTCATCATACACCTCATTGAGCCTGGCATTAAAGTCAATTAGTGCTGCTTCTGTTTTGATGGCCTTTACATTTAGCTGCTCCCAGAAACACATTACAAGCCTACCATCCCCTAAAACGCTGGTACCAAAGACAACACACATTAATTCAACCTAACTTATAACTACATATATATATATATTTTTTTTTCAATCAAAACATAATATCTATCACGCTAAAACTCTACACATCCAAAACACCTTTATTTTAACCAAACACATAATAACTACGGTCAGAAATTATTCACTTAACAAACTTGATATCAGAACAACTATTGGTGGTTTAATATCAAACTCTCCCTTCGAGATGAGCTTGGTAAGTGTTTTTACTTCTCCTATGAATTAGTAACATCCAAGGGTACAGAAAGCAGGTCTGAGTATTAATTGGTGAACAAAGCTTGAGTGGCTGTAGGATCACTAACCACCTCACAACTCTTACCAACAAACTTTTGTCACGCACAAATTTCATAGCAGTGAAATAAGGCCTGTCCATCAATTTAAGAGCTGATTGCTTGACTTTCTGAAATTGTTAACCATTCATTGCAGAATAAGAAACAAATCAAATTAAAAAAAAAGAGTTAAAATACTGAATGAAAATTAAATTTGGTACCAGCCAAATATGATCAGCCCAGCTGTCTAGTAGCTACATGTTTGATACATCAACTTTATAAAAGAGAAATGATTGATTACCGGCTTGCAATATTTTATTTGATAGAAAAAAAATCCCAGTTTTGAGCTTATAATTTGAACATTAACATCAGACAATTAAAATGAAATACATGTAAGTTGTTACAAACCCACAAATTGTCAAGCTTGTCATCCAGTTTAACCTACACTACATAAAGCTAATCAGAGTAATATAGCTGACCTTTGTATTGTTAAACTTTGTATAGCTAACCTTTGTAAAACTAACCAGTGTAAAACTAACCATCACATAGCTAACCAGTGTTGTTATCCTAGATCTGTGTATAGCTAACCTGTGTATAGCTGACCAGTGTAAAGCTAACCATTACATAGCTAACCAGTGTTGTTAACCTTGATCTGTGTATAGCTAACCTGTGTATAGCTGACCAGTGTAAAGTTTAACATTACATAGCTAACCAGTGTGTAGTTAACCTAGATCTGTGTATATAGCTGACCAGTGTAAAACTAACCATTACATAGCTAACCAGTGTCGTTAACCTAGATCTGTGTATAGCTAACCTGTGTAAAGCTAACCAGTGTGAAGCTAACCATTATATAGCTAACCAGTGTCTTTAACTTAGATTTGTGTATAGCTAAGCTGTGCAATAGCTGACCAGTGTAAAGCTAACCATTATATAGCTAACCAGTGTCGTTAACCTAGATTTGTGTATAGCTAACCTGTGTATAGCTGACCAGTGTAAAGCTAACTATTATATAGGTAACCAGTGTCTTTAACCTAGATTTGTGTATAGCTAAGCTGTGTAAAGCTGACCAGTGTAAAGCTAACCATTACACAGCTAAACATGCAGTGTCGTTAACCTAGATCTGTGTATATACCTGTATATACAATGTAGCTAACAAGTGTATAGCTTACCTGTGTATAGCTGACCAGTGTAAAACTAACCAGTGTCGTTAACCTAGATCTGTGTATAGCTAACCTGTGTATAGCTGACCAGTGTAAAACTAACCATTAAATAGCTAACCAGTGTCGTTATCCTAGATCTGTGTATAGCTAAGCTGTGTATAGCTGACCAGTGTAAAACTAACCATTAAATAGCTAACCAGTGTCTTTAACCTAGATCTGTGTATAGCTAACCAGTGTTGTTAACATAGATCTGTGTATAGCTAACTTGTGTATACAATGTAGCTAACAAGTGTATAGCTAATCATTACACAGCTAACCAGTGTCGTTAACCTAGATCTGTGTATAGCTAACCTGTGTAAAGCTAACCAGTGTGAAGCTAACCATTATATAGCTACCCAGTGTCGTTAACTTAGATTTGTGTATAGCTAAGCTGTGCAATAGCTGACCAGTGTAAAGCTAACCATTATATAGCTAACCAGTGTCGTTAACCTTGATCTGTGTATAGCTAACCTGTGTATAGCTGACCAGTGTAAAACTAACCATTAAATAGCTAACCAGTGTCGTTAACCTAGATCTGTGTATAGCTAACCTCTGTATACAATGTAGCTAACAAGTGTTTAGCTAACCTGTGTATAGCTTTATATAGCAAACCTACATAATGCTCATTGATGTATAGCTTATCGGCAAATTCTGGTATAGCAGTGAGGTAATCTGTGTAAGATAATTTGTGTAGCTAACATAGGTCAGCTGTTTAAACTCATAACTAACTTATACACAGCTAATTTGTGTACATTTAATATGTGGTTAAACTGTATAAACCTGATTTGTGTAAGCCTAGCCAAACATGTGTTAGCTAACCTGTGTATAGCTATCTGTATCCTATGCTACATAGTGTTTTTTGTAAATATAAAAAGAATAGATAACTCATGAACAAAGTTTGATGCTGCATCAATCTAGGTGGTATTTTCACTAGTCCCTTTGGAACAGGAGTGGCTGGATTAGTTTTGACACAACTTGACATGTTAAAGCTCACTAAGGACAACACTAAACAGGACATTGCATGGAAACTTACATGTATCCACTTGCTTGTGTTAAACTTTGAGTAGTGTATACATGCATTGGCATGCCCTAGCAAGTTGTATGTACAATGATCACAACACAAATACAGACACAAAGTCACAACACAAGTAAAGGTCAAGAGACAAATGTCACAACTCAAGTAAAGGTCAAGAGACAAAGGTCACAACACAAGTAAAGGTCATGTGACAAAGGTCACAACACAAGTAAAGGTCAAGTGACAAAAGTCACAACACAAGTAAAGGTCAAGTGACTAAGGTCACAACACAAGTAAAGCTCAAGTGACAAAAGTCACAACACAAGTATAAAGGTCAAGTGACAAAGGTCACAACACAAGTAAAGGTCAAGTGACAAAGGTCACAACTCAAAGTACAGGACGGTACAATGACAAAAATGACAATGACCAAAGTACAGACAACAATGACTGACTCAGTATAATGCAGTCCTTAAATGTTCTCATTGAGAAAGTTAACGATTAATCAGAGGCCGAACAGCATGCACACATTTCATTCCAACATTGTAACAACTTAATTATATGTCTAAGGTCAATATCCAATAGACATCCTGTATATATATCTGAACAAGTTAATCTGCTACTGAACTAAATAAACTGCCACCAACTACAACTGTAACCAGGATTCTATACTTGCAGCAATTACATATCTGTATATAGCACATGAAGGTGACCTTTCTTTATAAATAGCATGTGCAGTATCTACTACAAACTCAGAAAGATAATTAATGTATTAGGAAAGCTGACTAAAGGAAATATAAACAAAGCAGAAAAGCTAAAATCAGGAAAACAGTTTGAAATGCAACATAAGATATGATCTATCTAGTCTGTGAAGCTGGTCATCAGGACAAACAATTACCACACCGGAAGTAGAGTTAGAAAACTACCTGTAAAATGATTCTAAAATCTACTTAAGCAATTTGACATGATCGCTCACCAACTGGCCCACTCTCTTCATGATCTAGATAGTACATCGAAGTACACATCAACTCTTAATGGGTTAGGTACATTTAAGTATGTTGTACATGTACAAGTATGTTGTACATGTACAAGTATGTTGTACATGTGCAAGTATGTTGTACAGCTATGTCAGCTACACAGATTGGATCCTAAGCTGGACTTGTTGATGAATGTGACAGTGTTATAATGATAGAGGCATATAGATACTGCAAGCTTGAAAACGGGATGTATTTTGGTTTTTATGTTCAAACATTTGTATATCTTTTTTAATTAGCTGTTTTCAACTATAAAGTCTCAGAATTAAAGGTTCCAAAAAGTTGATGCAGCTAACTGCTCTATTCTAAACACTAGTCTTTGAAAAAGAAAAATCAAATCTCATTAAAATTGCACTCTAAAAATCTTTGTCTAGCAAAAGCTTTTGTTCAATGCACTTGGAACAACATTCCTTAATCAAGTCGTATTAGATCTCATTTAACAAATATTATGTCATAAAACATGTATTAGGTAACATAAACAAACAACTAGACATCTATAGCTACACTACACAGCAGTAATCCCTGAAACAAGTAGTTTGTAACCAAGCAGCTGCAAGGGAAGTATTTAGTCCCTCAATATTAATACGATGACAGAGAAATCACAGAAATCAAACACTGCCCAGGATAAAGAGTAATTAGGACTGCTGGTGTTAACCGCACAACACGTCAACTCAATGCTAACACAGAATAGGACAGAGAAGGAATATATTTTGTGAGGAAGAAACTTACTATAGCCACGCCATCCAACGCTTTCAGGTTCTTTAGATGGTAGATGACAAACAAGCGGTAATTGTCTATCTCCGTGGCCACAGGGTTACCAAACAGGTCCAGTATAACCAGATTTGATAGCACCTGAAAATGAAACCGTAAATTAAGTTGTAATTGTTGTAGGGGAAGTAACTCAGAAATTAAAATACAGTTTTACAAGTATCCTTGTCATGACAAAATCGAATGCTCTGTTTATGCCACCTTGTGGATGATAGGAATAAACTTGTTTCATCTCTTGATGAACAACAAAAGAATCAGGTTGATAATTAATAAGAATGAAACTGACTGGCTTTGATGTTGGGTGTTGCTCCTCTGTCCACACGACAGGTATCAGACTCATGATGGGTCATTTTTTTCACCAGTAAAAAATCAAATCGCTTTCCTCGTGCCTTCAATTTTGTCATGACAAATTCCATAGGTGCAGAGCATAACCTCTGGTCTACATATCAACCTCTGAAACCTTTTCCATAAAGGGAATAAAATTCACAGCAATGTGTGAAAAAATGGTTTCAGCAATCCTATAAATATTTTGCATATATGAACGCAGAATTTTCTTCTAATTAATGCATTCCAACTTTTCTTTTATAAATTACACATCAATCTGATTTACAATAATTAGAAACACTCACTGTATTAAAACAGGCAAAGTAATCGAAGAAATCCACAGCCACCCACACCAGACAAACTTCATTATCGAAAATGTATAAAGAGCTCTAACTCTGTATATAATGTGACACATTACCCAATTTCAGTATTTGACACTCCACCATCCAAAGGGGTACTGACATTTGTCAATCGTAGGTACCGAGTATATAAAAAATGCCCAGGGCAAGTGATTCATGGTGATCTAAGGGCCACAACTCCACAGTGGGGTACAAGGCCTTATTTCATTAACAACACTTTGCTATTCCACGAGTACTCACTTGCAAAATTTTGCAGCTGTAGAGGACAGAGTATATATTGGATATGCCAGGACAAAGTGACGTACTTTAAGAATCTTAATGATGGATGTTGTGTATCAGTATGGCTGCTGAACGTGAAATGAGGTAACTTCACTCCTGTTCAATTACTCAGTGACCAGCTGGTCCCCGTTTTATCATGATTTGATTGACAACTCCGGAATCTCTCATTTCTTATCTCATGTTATACCTAACACCTCTCACACATACCTTTAGGTAGAACACTTCTCTCACACTGTAGATGAGGTTATTGCCCACGTAGAGCTCCACTAGACTAGACATTTTCTGCATCCCTGCCAGTGAGGTGAGCTTGTTGTTCTCCATAGATAAGTACACCAATAGAACCAGGAACTGGAGCCCTGCATTCTCCACGGATGTGATATAATTGCTACCTAAACTCAGTCTCCGCAGATTTACGAGTTTAGAAATGCCCTCCAGTCGTGCCACACAGTTGTTCTCCAGGGACAGCTCCTCCAAGCTGGTACACTGGTCCAGTCCCTGATATACAAGTCAGGTTAACATAGTACACTCTTTACAGGGTAGGAATGGAAAGGAAACAAGTCAGATAGATAATACTCTAAATGACATCTTTGAAAGATGACTTTTTTTCTACAACTTCCTTTTTTAGATTTTATAGCTATTATTCTAGAATTCTGGCTTAACTTTTTTCAGTGTAACTGTAATCTTGTGACATCTTTATGTAATCAGTGACACAGATATTCACACAAAACCTGAATAGTTATGTGAACAATGGCTGACCTCAATCTTAGTGATGTCGTTGTTGTTAAAGGTGGCGTATTTCAGGTTGTCCATCCTCTCTAGGCCAGACAGCTTAGTAATGTGTTGATTGTCCATATTCAGTGTGGTTACCTGGAAAATGTTGATCAGGTTTTTTATAACAAATCAATATATCATTTCAATATTTTATATGCCAAAAACATTGGATCCTAATTGCCCCAAAGCACGAATTATTATATATGTCCCCTGTTTTCATAGAGAATCAAAGTAATTAAACCACAATACCAATAAATCATGACAGGTAACATATATAATCCAATTTTACCTCAATATTTTACTAGCTTAAGGATGTATGCTAACTATATAATTCTCTCCTGACGCCGATTAATCAGTATTATTTAATAATTTAGGTGTTCATGTGAGGGATATAAATGTAGTCATGCTTGTGTGGCTTTGAAATGTGTCATCAATAAAATTAGTCCAAATTGTCATTTACTAATGTTTTATAGGTTTCTTCATGCAGAACTCCTTTGTAAACACATCACAGTATGGTAGCATACATCCTAAAGATGAATAGGAACCGTTAACAATATAAACTGAAAGGTAAGTTTGATAACTGGGTAAAAGCAGGAAAAAATGTGTAACTTTGATTTAATCAGATGTTAGATCATAATACTTGCGAGTGTTTCAGTAAATCTTTATACAACATATCGTCCATCCAACTTTCTTCCACGTACAACATGCGACAGTTTACCTTGCTGTACCACTGGCTATCAGATTCCCCAAACTTCTCTGGTTTCAATCGACTCATTTTCTCTAGTATTTGAGCAATGCCTAATAGATTGAGAGAGCGTGGCTTTGATTCGTCCGTGCGGCCATGAGTCAGGAGAGACAGCTGGGAAATCCTGGACCCCGCAGCCACTCGTAGAGCTGATGTAGCCTCATTTTCAGTCACAGCTGATCCGTCTAGCAAGGTCAAGGACTTAAGGCGACCAATCACACGTAACCTTAGATTTTCAGGCTGAGAACAGAAACAAAATAATTATATGTTTTGTGATATTGTTGTAAGTGTGATCGTCATTTTGAAGACAAAAAAATAGTTTTTATCTTTCCCCTCAATCATTTGTTTATTATATCCCAGCTGCAGTGACGAGTTTGTTACAGTGGCACTGGTCAAAACTTTAAATGATGCCATCTCAGAATAAACCTGCACCGACTGATGCCTAATTGATAATGATATACTGATTGACATACACAGTTAGATGATGTGTGAGCCCCACCTTTTGCCAGTTGTTGCTTCGGAGGTCCAGTGTGACAAGATTACAGATGTGTTTCCTTAGAATGGACAACTCATCCCTCGTATGTAGCAACTTGTTCCAGCTCAGGTCCAAGAACTTGAGTTTGTACATATTCTGTAAAATAATATCAATCTACTGACAACCTTGTTTAACTAAAATTAGTGGAATTCAATAACATTACAGCTGTGTTTAATTACAAATGGTGTTCAAAAGTGTTGGATTCATGTATGAATACAAGTTGATTTCAATCATATTCACCAATTATATTAAAAAGGTGCATATTACAATACACATAATTAAAATTCAATTTTATTCAATATGTCAATGCTTTTTAATATTGTTCAAAATGATTTTTAACGAAGTGATATGATGGTTATTATGTATTTGTGATGTCTGTTCTTTGGTTTACCTTCATTCCCTCCAACGTTGAAATTTTATTGAAGCCTGCATCCAAGTATTCTAAACTCTGGAAATGAATTTGACAAAATCAAGTTGGTTATTTCTTTACTCTTCAAAACAACAATATGGAAAAAGAGCATCACTAGAGACGTTTTCCTGGTTAATTAACTACCTTATTAACAATGAATTGATTAATTATAAGAACGGTAGCTTCCTTGGCTTATTACACCACTTCATTTACATCAAATAGTTTTAACTATAAACTGTAATGATTTTGCCTCTTATTTGAGATTCTATTTACTGTAAGTATTGTACAGATCTTAAAAATGTTTGAAATTAATTTGTCTTCTGGTTCAAGCCAGAAAATAAAATGACCGCAACATTTTTCTTTAACTATGATCTTACCGTATAAGCCAAGTCATCAAGCTTGGTGAGGTCATTGAAACTGACCACTAGTCTCCGTAGAGACTTGAGAGCCTGTAAGGATCGTAGCTTTGTTAGACCATTACCATGCAAGTTTAGGACAGTGATATTCTCCAGAGAGTCTGTATTAGCAGCCTTCAGCAGTAGTTCTTCTGTTAGACCAACCATCCTGAAAGTAAGTTAGAGAAGGATTTCAATTGATGTCAGATCAAGCGTTTGAAGACAACGAAATCCCCACTGAACAGCAGCAGCAATGAGTCAATTCTGTGTTAATCCTTTAATATTATATATAAATTTACCAGGTCAAACATTACCCATGGTTTTAAAATACAAGAATGAGTTGAAGCTTTGCCATCTAACCTGAGTCAGGTTTGCCACTTAGATCCCACAAACTCCCTCAGCCCTGTCACTTATTAGGTGACCAACTCAAAGATCTTAATCATTATGAAATGTATAAGTCCTGTCAATCACTATTTTAGTATATAGGAAACTATCTGTAAGTCTTAGTCTATATCATACAGAAATATAGTTATCTATTTACCCATGCCAATTACAAGGTTACTTACTCCAAGGTCTACAATATTCAAACATTAATATATCAGTTGGATCATGCCTACCTTGGTCTTTGTTTTGGGACAGGCTCCATATTGAGAACATCATCATCTGTCTGTTTCTCCTCCTCCCCATGAGGGACGGCTGGCAGCTTACACTCACGATTGTCTAACAGTAGGTCATTGAAATAAGAGAATGGTGATCTGGGCCGGAACTGTGTATAAACAGAATCTTGTTTAAAAATGTCATCTTTTGCAATAATTACACCATAATTAAACTAAGCTAATTATAAGAGACTGATAGTACATGTAACTGATTAATATACACCGTACATGTTGATAAATCTTCTCTCATTCATATACACTGTACATGTTGATATATCTTCTCTCAATATTATACACCGTACATGTTGATAAATCTTCTCTCATTCATATACACTGTACATGTTGATAAATCTACTCTCATTAATATACACTGTACATGTTGATAAATCTTCTCTGGTTAATATACACTGTACATGTTGATAAATCTTCTCTCAATAATATACACCGTACATGTTGATAAATCTTCTCTCATTCATATACACTGTACATGTTGATAAATCTGCTCTCATTAATATTCACCGTACATGTTGATAAATCTTCTCTCATTAATATACACCGTACATGTTGATAAATCTTCTCTCATTCATATACACTGTACATGTTGATAAATCTACTCTCATTAATATACACTGTACATGTTGATAAATCTTCTCTCAATAATATACACCGTACATGTTGATAAATCTTCTCTCATTAATATACACCGTACATGTTGATAAATCTTCTCTCACTTTACCATACTGATAGTAAACAATGAACCGAGTCTTCAACAGGTTATAGTACAAGATTTTAACAATAACAAATTAAAGAAATTTAAATCTACACAGGAAAAGCTGTACATTTTGCAGGTTCAAGACTAGATATTCAGGAGGCAACTCACCTTTGTTACATACTCAAACTCCACTATGTACTCTGGCAGCACTAACTCATTATCAAATATGTACCATTCACATTGTCGAGCACTGCACTCACAGGAGTTGGAACCATCTCCGTGGGATTCTGAAATAACAATCCACAGTACCTTATGTATTGAGAACATATCTGTACACATCTGGCATATTGTATCTAAATCCAACTTTGTGTGTACGTTCTCTATACTAATGTGATATTCAATGAAGATAAAAGCTGCAAGACGTCCTCTAGTCGTGTTTCAAATTTAAGATATCTTGATATAATAGATGAGAAATTGTGTGTCTACTTGTAAAACTGTCTTGACCATACATGTATATACAATCCATCCTTAAAGGTCTTTCCCCTTAAATCTTATTTTCACTACATATACAATCACTGAAAACTCATCTAAAATTACACAAATCAATTCTTCCAGATCGAATTGGCAAAGATAAACTCTCACTTCATGTATTTGGCAAAGCTATTTCTAAATAATAGTTTCTGAAAATCTAACTTTCTTGATACCAGGCCAGAGTATCACACAACAGTTCTAAATGATCTAACAATCTTACTTTTCTGCATTTTAGCCACTGTTTCCAGTGTATTTTTTTGGGGCATTTGAGGAAAAACATTTTGTATAACCTTTAAACAAAATTTGATTTCAAGAAAAGGAGAATGTTTTCAAAGTAAGAAAATTTTGTGACACCTGGGCCAGGTGAGCAGGTTGCTTATTAATTAATATTTACCTATTCCTTGGCACATTTTCCTAGGTTTAAATACAGCATCAATTTTTGGATATGATGATCTTGTTATTCTGGTGAGAAAAAAAAGGAGATTATTCTTACTTGCAGGACCATGAAGTGTACAATAAAACACAATCAAAACATTATATTTATATTCTTTCTTCATATACATATTCATGAACATCTTTAAAAAGAGTTATTTTTAGCCATTGAATTATTTTTATTGCCAGAGAGTTCACTCTAGATCTTCTTAACAATATGCACACTTATTGTAGTATGTACTTTTTTAGGTCAATGAATTCATACTGACTTTTTTATAGTTTACATATAAATACTTAATTATATTCTTTTTGTAAACTTTCACTCACTGTCGATCGTCCATTGCCTTTACACTTTTACCCAAGTAGACCTTTGATATAATCAGGTGACCTAAAAATCAAACATTGCAAATCATCATGAAAAAATAATGTTTATGCAGTAAAAATGTCAACCTTTTTTTATTAGATAATTAGCAGAAGTAATTGATGACATTTGAATTTCCTAAGGCTTTTACTAGTTATGATTTATGATGTAGAAGTTAGACTGTCATTACAAAAACGGTGGCAACCTGTGCTGATGATTTCTGTGAAAACTTATAACCGAAAGTATGTAAGTGTTTTATCAGCTAATTCTACACATTCATGTCTGTTCAACCCCAAATATATACTGACCATATCTGAAAGGACAAGCATCTACTTTGTTGGAGGTTTTGGTGAGATGTTTGATCCGGTGTCGGTCAGCCAGACTCAGGCTGTTACTGAGAGGCACAGCTCCGTCTCGTCCCAGGTCCTGCAATATACACATTACATTTCATTTTTTTTTAATTATTATTAATTTACTAAACCCAAAACAACCCGTAACCAGCCATATCAACAACAGATTTTAAAGTTGAAGAAAAAAACAAAATTATTCAATCAACACTACATTTTTGAAATACTGCGTCATTTTAATCAATCAACCTTAACAGGAACCTAATTGTATATGAAGCACTATTGTCATGGTGATTGGACCTGTTGCTGTGATTGGACCTGTTGCTGTGATTGGACCTGTTGCTAACCTTGTAAGTGTTGGAGTCCATATAACCTTCCTCTAGCACTCTCATTGGTTCCTGCACCCCGCCCAGCAGTAGTGGGTCCCACATCCAAAACAAGTACTCCAACTGCTTCTTATAGGATGTGTTTCTACAACAAAATAGTACCATTTAACTTAATCCAAAAGCTCATTTGAATATGATTATGATGAAATGGAAAGAAAAAAAAAAAAGTTTCTTCAAGTACAAAAATTGTTATATCCAACAAGACAAACTGTCAGCGAAATCACAAAAACACTTCACATACTTTCACTATTCCAAGTTACATTTATTTAAATAATCCAACAAATAGTTTAGGAGTTGTTACTAGAAGGTTCTGGAGAAGAAATTTGAAGTTTAAGGGCCATAAGTCCAGGAAAAATAGTCAAAATGCAAATTCTTTTCTTCATTACACATCTACATATAATATACTATCCAACAAACATTTTAGGAGTTTGATCAGTTGGTTTTTGTCCAAAAAGCTGAAAAGAACAACTGGTAAATATCAAAATGCCACTCTATGCTAATTATGGTGACTTGAGTGAGAGAATATATACTACTCCTTCTTACCCCAATATGTAGGAGATGGAGATCCACCCACAGGATTTCCATCACCCTTGGTAAAGCCTCATGATTAATTGCATAATTTAGTACCCCTTATATCCTTATCCTACAACCCTGCATGGTCATGATAGAGATTTTACACTATGTGAGTCTAGATTAAAGTTTAGTAAGACCTCGTTTTACAATTGTGGCCAGTCATTTCGACACAAGTATGCTGTGTCAGTATACATAATACATGCAAGTCATGATTTATAGGAGGATGTTCCTTAAAGAGATTTACTAAGCCATGAAGTTTTGTATGTTTAGGTATATTTCTATTATATTTTAAGGATACACAATCACAAACAATAGAAAAGAAATACAATACATCATTGTATATCTATTTCAGATAAAAAACATTAAAAATAAAACCTCTGTGTACAAGCTTAAGCAAAATCTAAACCAGTAGAATACTTTTAACTGAACTGCATACCTATTACAAGGATAGTACTCCCCATCTCCGTCATCCACAATTGTCACTAGCTTCTCATCAAACTGGGTTCGCAGCATTCGGTTGTGGACTCGTATGATGCGGTGAATCTTAACACCAGATATGCCATGATCCTTGAAATCCGTAGCACAAAATCGAGATAGCACTAGGTCATGACACGAGGAAAACCTACAGAAATGTGAAATAAAAAGTCAACGCACCGAAGTCATCATTTACAATTCATTTTAGTATTTTCAAACTTGAATTTTGTTTGTGTCAATTAAAGTCGTCTAAATTCAAATACACTACTTTGGACAGCATTGGAATTTGGATAACTTGACTTTTTTCGTTACGAATTATTTTTCACAAACGCAAAAAAAGGTAATACAAGTGTATACCTATGTGGCTGGACTTTCAAATGTGATTATCTTAAAAACATGTTAAGTGTATGCACACAATTTCTCCTGTTTAGAAAGAGCAAGGGGACTTCTACAAGATAAGGTATTTGGCAAACAAATGGATAGGTTCACAGAGTACTGTAAGAAAGTGTAAACACTGCTGTGTGGCCCATCTAAACCATCAGCAGACAATAAACAGAACAGTGGTGTGAGCTAGGAAGCCATTATGGTACTGTGTGAGACACTGAGTGAGACAGTGGGAGTTTATTGTCCTGTGAATGGCTTCTTTAGTACCGCAACACTCACCACACATCTGATGTTGTCCCCTCCTCAAACCGTACATTGCCCCCGGACTCCAGCTCTAGGACCATTCTATTGACTAGGGTATCACAGCTCTGCTGTAACTGTTTTACTGCCTCCTTCATAAAACTTTCTATCCTGTAACACAATAATGTAGTGCCATGATACAAGGTGTCAGGTTCTGCTGTTACCATCACATTATCCCCTTACAGGGAATCTCTCCCCTGTAACACAATACTTCAGTACTTAACAATAATCTGTCTGCTGTAAGCACATCACTGCTGTATACCAGGAAACGTTCACCCTTCATAGACTCACTCCATATATTGTTATGTGTAGTATGTCGCATACTTATTTTTGCTGTCATAATTACGTCCTCTTCACAAAACACCACATCCTGTAACCCAACACTTCCATGATTAATTTTAATGTGCCTGCTGTAACACAATACAGTAGTGCTTATTTTTAAGTAAATAACTTGCGGTTCTTTATAACCTCTGTATCTTGTAACACCTTTTTGTACCTCAATGTTAAGCTATTTAAGGAGGCTGCTGTAACAGCCTCACAGCCTCCTTCATAAAACCTTTTTAAAAATAAAATAAAACTGCTTATTGCATCTTCAAATAGTGTGTACTGGCTTCAGCCACAACTTGAGTGTATGACTGCCAGTAGGCAGAATAGAATCAGCTTATTGGAATTCACATTGCATAACTTCAAGTGGGAGAAGAAGACAGGTTATATTGATGGTCTCAAATCAGGTTTAAAATTTTAGAAACCTGACTGACATAATCATTTTGTTTCACAGAGTGTGACAATTTGTAGAATTGGAGACCTAAATGAATAACTTTCCTTTGTAAAAAATCTATTTTATTTACTCGTTTGTACAAATTAAATTATTGTATCAAATTGTTTATATTAGACATGTTGTATTGTCTGATTATGACGGATAGAAGGGTGTAAGCAGATACACATAGTAAAACTAGCATATAAATTGTATCACACATTAGTTTAAGGCAGTGCCCTGGTCCCTAATAATACAGTAGCTATATATATACAAGTGTAGTGTACTCCCACATCTTATAGTCTGTAGTGATTGAACCACATTACCAGTGCCTTTATTCCACACTAAAAAGCTGGTTATCTTTGGTTTTGTTATGGCTGTTGCAGTGGCAAACACCTTCAGGAGTCTAACAAGAGGCCTAATGGGCATGTATCACTCACCTGCTGTTTAATCTCATAAATGTTACCTTAAAATGAACCAAAGTCGAAATATTAAATGGTCTCAATGAAGCTAGAGACCAATATCATTACATATGACTGTTGGTAATTCAGATAAACTAATGTTAAAATATTTGAACACATTTGACCCCAGTGACCTTGAAAGTGGGTCAAGGTAATTCATTCGAAAAAACTTGGTATAAAATCATTTGGCCCTTCAGGTGAGCTGAAAATCAGGCATTTAACCAACGTGAAGTATAAACACTACATTCACATGTTGCATCGTAGTATCATAGGGGTCAACTTCTGAACCCTCCAATGAGGCTGTCACTTCCCGTTCTATATCTCAAATGAGAGAGAAAGTGGTTGAAAAATGTCTGCAACATATTTTACTTCATTTATCCAACAAAATTGTATGTACTAGGTATAAAAAAGATTTAATATTACAAAACCAAACACAGTCTCTTTGTGAATTTGACATCCACTGCAGCCATTGGGACATCTGTTCACCCCTAGGATGTAGATTCTGAATTTTTGTAAGCTTTTATTTGAATGAGGGTTTCCAATATTCATTTAGAATTTTATAAATTTTGATCACCTCGAGGAAAGCGCTTACAAATACATAGGCAAAAAAATTATGTCTTGCAATTTGCTTTCTATAAAACCAAACACATTCACTAAAAAGACTGATCCGAGCAAAGGTTATCAACCTAATAGTTAAGCATCATTTAATTTTTTCTCTTTTGAAATGCTTTATACTCACAGCAAATTTTTATTGTATAATTACACAGGTAACTTACATCCTCTATATTAATATTTTCAAAATATAACATCACGTCCGGGAAGTGAAGAAATCCCAAAATTCTGTCTTGGTAGTCCAATATTTCAATACATACTTCATTAGATATCTTTATACCTCTACTTATTTTACACTATACAAAAGTAACCACATGAACAAGCTATTTCCCCTCTAACTGCATGCCAGGGAAATAGTTCTTCTGGAGGAGTGGGATAGTTTTGAAACTTTTTCCCTCTGAAAATGCGGGAAATTGAGTGACATCGTGGGCGGGGCCTGACCGAATATTGCCCAATCAGCGCAATCGAATTACGTCAGCAATTTCTGGCAATTTCCGGCCAGCAGAGCCGGTACTTTCTGTGCCGACCTTCACCTCGCATTGTTGTAGTTTTGTTATTAAAGTGTCCCAACTGTTGAAAAATTTGTTGTCTAATAATATTTAGAATATTGTAAGGGAGTGTTTGTATTGGTATAATAAAACAGTTGAAGTATGGGTATTTCGGGACATAGCAAATTAATGATCTCCCTCGTCCAGGACTATTTCCCTCAGCTTCGCCTCGGGAAATAGTCCTGGCCTCGGGGGATCATAAACTTGCTATATATCCTTCATACCCATACTTTAACTGTTAATTATCCAATTTAGCATTAAAAACAACATCTTGTAACATGGACATATACCTCCGAAGTCTACTATCTATTGTAGCTCTTGTAGCTCTGGTTTTACCAAGCATTCAAGTCTTTCCATAAATTCAAGACTTGCTTGCATGTATGTCATGGTGCAAGTCTAAAAAACTATATTTAGAACAGGCAAAACAAATTCAATTTCAAATAGAAGCATAAACTGCTTTAAACATTGGGCAATTTTCCAATTAACAGGAATAATTTGGCAGATTTTGCTGGAATATTATTGATTCATTTTGTGAGGTCCTTAATCCCAATAATACAAACTGTGATGACTGCATCGTGCGCTAAACTCCCAATGGAATTCAGGAATTTAGATTCACCATTCTCCACAAACTATTTCATTTTAAACATGATGGGGTATCTATTTCCTATAGAAGGAGAATTTAAAACAGCCTGATAGAATTTGAAGGAATTTCATGCAGAGAAATTAGTATGTTATCAGCTCACAGAGAGGAAAGAAGTGAAAGGATGGTCTGTCTCCCTCTCATGGTATACCAAGAATGAGATACCTGGTATACTAATTACCCTCAAGACCCTTCCTACACATCAACCTCACTGTAACTTCCCTGAAGGTCTATGAAGAATGTGCCTTCATCAATTTTCATCTTTTTACACATTATCAGCTGATAACAAATTTTAACTACCCCCGCCCCGGCTCCCCCTCTCAAAGACACAGTTGTTATAAGCCTTGAATCCATACATAGCCGTTTGTAAAATCTGAGGTGATTATCTGTAATTCAGTTGCAATGAAAGACAACAGCAATGTCTTTGTAGTTTCCAGGTTGGACACTTCACCCTAAAGTGAACTTAGTCTTTATACAGTTCAGGTGCTGCAGCAAATAAGCAGACATCCTTTATGTACCAGAAATTACTAATATTCCGCAGATGTGCTGATCACTTACTCTGCAGATTTCTTCTCCCATTTTTTCATTCTTTCCTTTATTGCTGTCAGTTTTGCAGCAAAGGCCCCATTCTCGTCCAGATGCTGTAATCTTGCCTGTCAAACAAATTGAAAAGTAAATGTTTATGGATCAGGAAGCTTATATATAAAGACAAAACCTCAGCTGTGTAAATGGCTTGTATATAGTACATGTATAAATCCTATAACACAGTCGAGTAGCAAAATTCAAATGTAAATTTTCTATTTTCCACATTTTGAAAAAAAACACCGTTATCAATTCATATCAGTTTGTGAAAACTAAAATGAAAGTCAATTTTCATACAATTTACAGGAATCCAAATAAACACATCTATGAATTCTTTTTAATTCACCATCAATATTTTGTTCTGATATCAAGAGTTTCCTATTCACCTGGGGTGAAAATGGTTACACACATGATGTGGTGTACAACTACCCTGCTGTTATCCTGTAACTGATGTTCTGGTTACAAGTGATTCAATTAAGATTCCTCGGATGGTGACTATTCAATGTAAATTGAGTGATTGTGTTACGTCTTTGTATTCTGTGTTACCTCCGATTTCATCATGACAAATGCAGCAATGCTACAGATTTGTGCTGACACCGGCTGATATCTCTACGATCACTTGTTGCTGAGATAATCTAATGGAATTCATTCCTTTTTAAAACTGCACAACTAATGGTAACCGGATGAGAATGTCAGCCCCTGTCTCTCGCTCCACTGAGCACCACATTGGATATAAAGTTGCACTGCTGCACGATTGTCGAGATGTAGTTCCTATGAATAATTAGATAATACTTGGCACCATCACCATAATTTGTGTGTTAAATCTGCTGTCAAATCTGTTTAATGATTATTACATGACAACTCACGACGACAACTGGTAATACCATGCATGCTACATGTAGTTGTAAATATACATACTCATCATAAACATCAAATTGTTTCAGACTTAATCTATAAAAGCCTGGGAAGGATAACGTTCCTGGTGCAAGTGTACTACAATGATAAATGTTTAAAGAAATATTCATACTTAATAAGTACATGGGTTAAAAAAGATACATAATATTGCCTACAGAATGAGCTAAGGACATAAATATGTTGCATGATAATTGTGATTGTAGTAAACTATGACTGATCAGAGCTATACCAGATTAAAACCTCTGCACACTTTCACATTGTGTTTATATTACCAGGGATCAATTCACAATACCCTATTACAAATGTACTTCTAAATACGGTATTAATGTGTGATATCACAGGTAGAGCATCGGTAACGTGTGATATCACAGGTAGAGCCTTGATAATGTGTGATATCACAGGTAGAGCCTCGGTAATGTGTGATATCACAGGTAGAGCCTCGGTAACGTGTGATATCACAGGTAGAGCCTTGGTAATGTGTGATATCACAGGTAGAGCCTCGGTAATGTGTGATATCACAGGTAGAGCCTCGGTAATGTGTGATATCACAGGTAGAGCCTCGGTAATGTGTGATATCACAGGTAGAGCCTCGGTAATGTGTGATATCACAGGTAGAGCCTCGGTAATGTGTGATATCACAGGTAGAGCCTCGGTAATGTGTGATATCACAGGTAGAGCCTCGGTAATGTGTGATATCACAGGTAGAGCCTCGGTAATGTGTGATATCACAGGTAGAGCCTCGGTAATGTGTGATATCACAGGTAGAGCCTCGGTAATGTGTGATATCACAGGTAGAGCCTCGGTAATGTGTGATATCACAGGTAGAGCCTCGGTAATGTGTGATATCACAGGTAGAGCCTCGGTAATGTGTGGTATCACAGGTAGAGCCTTGGTAATGTGTGATATCACAGGTAGAGCCTCGGTAATGTGTGATATCACAGGTAGAGCCTCGGTAATGTGTGACATCACAGGTAGAGCCTCGGTAATGTGTGGTATCACAGGTAGAGCCTTGGTAATGTGTGATATCACAGGTACAGCCTCGGTAATGTGTGATATCACAGGTAGAGCCTCGGTAATGTGTGACATCACAGGTAGAGCCTTGGTAATGTGTGATATCACAGGTAGAGCCACGGTAATGTGTGATATCACAGGTACAGCCTCGGTAATGTGTGATATCACAGGTAGAGCCTCGGTAATGTGTGATATCACAGGTAGAGCCTCGGACCTGAACACTGAACTCTCACAGGAGGAAATACCTACATACATGATAGCCTTTGACACTACTTGATCAAAGCTACAAACATACACCTCAATCACCCAGAATCTTTGGTTAAATGAAAATGTCTCGATTAACAAATTTATGAATAAATGAAATATGACTTTTATCAATCATGACTTTTATTTCTTTAGTACTTCAGGATTTAAATTTGTAAATATTCTAGACAGTAGTATGAGAAACAAATGTTCATTATGAATTATTGAAAAGTTTATAGTTGCACAGACACATAGATCTAAGTGTTGTCAAAGGTGACCGTGTGGTCACTGGACCTTGTGTTTGAAAATCTGACCAGTAACTTTGTCCAGGACTGGAGATTGTTTTATTAATATCTAAGGATCAATGCTACTGTCTGTCCCTGCAGACAAAACTTTTCTGACCTACTTGTACACCATCCACATTTACCAATCTAGAAGTCTAGAAGTTCTAAGAAAGCCTTTGGTACATGATGTGACATCATGGGCAGTATATGTGTGTGTGTGTGGTATAATCCATTGAACTTTATTTGATAAGGCCTTCAACTGACTTTACCCTGTTTGTTCCATTTCATCCAGCTGTAATATTCAGACCAGATATTACACCAAGACCTGGATTACACAACAGCCAAACGCATGGTCAAGATCACTATGTACTAGTTATGGGGGACGGTTATATAGTCTGTTATGAGAAATAGATATGCAATCTGCTCGTCCATGTTACATAAAGAAATGATCACAGACAAAATGTGATTATTTAAACATCAAACTGAATTCTGTGTTGAGTTATAGACCTATAATTCTGAGCAGGATTGCAGATAAATCATATACCTCATATCTGTGTGTTATTGTACGGTTATAACTACAGGACTATTCGGGAAATAATGCAGTTTGATATTTTTATTGATATTTATTTTTCCAGCAACGCATAGCAAATGTAATAACAATGTCTTAAAATAGCCAAACAGCTGAATGACAAAATGGAAAGTGAAATTGCAACGCAGAAATATTTCTAATTTTGCCAAAATGATGTTTTGTGCAAAGCTAAATAACCGATGGTTACTTTAGTGGCCTTAATGAATTCACATTTCAGGATCTAGTGAAGAAATTACAGTCACTTGCCTGAAAATGAAACTCTATATTTTTATATATAAGACATATCCCAAAGAATATTGCAATCACCCTACTATAGTCACAAGCATTACTGTCACTGGGGAATGTCATTATGACCTTGACCTCATGCACATGTCAGATGAACCATGATATGATGGTTTACACAAGATTTAGATGACATTCTCTTTCACAATAAGGAAATATGAAGTAATTTGGAGCATGAATGCCTCAATTCAAAGTCAATACTAATACAATGACATTAGGCAGGACCTGGCTGCTGTAAAACAAGCATATCTTGATCCTCTACAAAGATGAATACATGCTCAAATACACTGCCACCTTCACTAATATAAACAATATCTTGTGAGTACATCTACATTGTACATGCTTGTAATTTATAAATATATACAACAAGGTAAATAATACAACAACTTGTTATTACACTGGCCTCACACTATACACAAGCATCACAACAGCATACACCAGCTACCTACAACAATCCCACCATGTCAGAGATGTAACGATTTCTTATTGATTACCAACCATTGATATTGACTGTTCCAAATTATTTATCACTTATATCAAAATCCCCTGCCTTATTTATCTGGCCAAAAAATATATTTTATCATGCTTGACAAGAAAGAAGAAATATACCAATATAATGTAATAATCAACATGTTTGTATATTATGATGAAACGAATTGTAAGGGGGAGAAAGTTTTATTGAAAAATAATGAATGAAAACAAATAGGCCTGAGTAATTAATTTTGACAATATTTTTGAATTCCAAGCTACACATTCCTGTACAATAAGCATGTGCTTCACAAAAACATGTTGATTATAAACAAGATCTGGGGAAAGCAATGAAATCCGTGACATAAACATGTTATCAGTTCATATATTGATAACCAAGTTCTGTAATCCTCTAATGTCTTCAGGTTAACCATATTGGATCATTATTAATATGTAATAATTCAATAGTTTACTATCAATATTAATGGTTTTCAGTTAAATATAATCAATATTAACATTACCTGTCTTGAGCATAGTTGGTCATGCATCATGGTTATAACACTACAATTCCTTAATTAGTTTACAAAGTTCACATTTTTAAGCATTATAAAAATTCCCTTAACATTTAAAACCATGAGGCCAAACAAATGTACATTGTACATACATCTATATACCAATATTCCTAACTTTCTGACACCCAAAGTTATACGAAACGAAGAACTGAAGACATTTTATTTACTCTGTATCATCAGGGCTCACCCTGGACCTAAAGAATCAGTAGCCAAAAAAGTAGCCATGTGTGAATTTCAGTAGCCAATTTTTTTTTTAAACAGTGGCCATACTTTCTCGTCCTACGACCGTTACAGATAGGCCCTCCATTAAAATCATTCAATATTTAATATTTTCTGAAGCGCAATACTATTCAATATGATGTTAAATTTAGGAGTACTCTATTAAATTAAAATTTCATAGCTTGATCTACAAATAAACTATCTTCAAAATACATATACCGAGATATTTGTAAATAGATTTTAAGTTGTCGACTTTCCAGACAAGATGTATTTAGCAGTTTGAAACCTGTCATGTATTTAAAGATAAAATGTTTCTCTCACTCAAATTTTTTGTTTCATAACAAAATTTATGATTAAGATATAGTGTACAATTATGGATATCAATTGAATTATAATGTGCTGTATTAATGAGGTTAATCATTATTTCATGAGTAGATAAGACAGTTAGAGGTCAAGGGTCAACAATGGTGAGTATATACATGTACATGCAGAGGTTAGAGGGGTCAACTACAGATCATTCTGCTGAGGGAGGGCTGAACACAGGCAGGCAGTATACATACAATTACTAGTTAGTGACAAGGTCAGACAACATTTGGTCACCTGGTTCTCTATTTCAACTGTCAAAACAAGTTCAGCATCCTCATCCTCTTGCTCCTCCTCCTCATCATTAGATGAGTTGGAGGCTTTGCGCACAGGCACCAAAATGTTGAAATCATGCATTTCCTCAAGTTCTGATCGCACCTGCAAGTTTTAGGTTGGTGTGGATATACAATGACTAGTTTTACATGTACTAGTGAAGTTAACTCAACCTCCAATTTGATCAGTGTACACATGCGTCTACAGTGAGTTACAATTGTGATATCAAATGTTATCTGCTATTGCTGGATTCACAAATCTTTCTAAACATTGACTAAAAAGTCTGCCTTCAAATTTCTCTTTCAGAATTGTTCACGATCTCAAAGGTTAAATTCCTGTCGAAATTTCATTAACCCTCAAAACTTTATGTTTTTACTCAATTTCTTTTTCACCAAATGTTGTAATTGCAGTTCTATGAAATTATCAGCCATATTAATATACTGTAAACAAAATGCACCACACTGTGTCAACAACATTAAAATTAAAACTTGCTCAAAATCCTTCCACAGTACTGGGCATACTAGTACTTGTAGTCCTATGCTTATTTCAAGGTTGGAGAGTGTAATTCATCAACATATAACTATAAATCACCAATTTATCCTGTACTTTCTGTGTTACAACTGACAAGAACTAAATTACAATTACCAAACATATAACTACATGCACATCCTTTGTTTTTGTTTTAATCTAAATTTGTTATGTGTTGCACTTTTAATAAAGCTGACAAAAACCTGGCGTGAAGCTAGCAATTTAAATGAGTAAACCTTGCTATTTACATCAATATTTCATGGCGGCTTCATCAAGTCAGGAAAAAACAATTGTTTCTTATACTCAATGATCGAGTAAAGTGGAAATATCTTAATGTAATAGAAGATGCTACCAGGAAGGAAACAAAAAAAGAAAACAAGGCCTAGATAATGAAATTAAAACCAAATTCAATTAGAATTAGCAGGCAGACAATTTATATCAATATTGAAGTTATTTATCTGCAAAGATCTATAACTTGAAAACTCTATATATTATATGGATACAAGTTTCATTTGTTTGCATTAAGTATTTTTCCTAACAGGACAACATATATCTCTGGGGCTCTAGCTATGGAATAGGGTAAACCATTATGGTTTTTACTTGACACTATGAGTATATTCCTGATGCATCATTATATATAAATTACTCTGGATGGCCAGCGTTAAAAGTCATCAAAAACAAACATCAAATTTTAAAGCCTTTTTTTTTAAAATTTATTGACCAGATAAACTGCATTGCGTAGCAACTCATAAATATTGTTTGAAGATTACATAACTGTAAGACAAAGTATTTTAGGAAGTTAAGCTGATATACTTTCCAATATATATACTGTAACAAAGATGTCGGCAGTCAAAGTGTTATTAAATGGGGAATCGGTTTTCTCCTTTCTCTCTATACACAACTGATAACATGGCTTGTGGATTCAAGCTAATAATAAATAGTCACAAGCATGAGGTAATTTCAGTGTTATTTCAAGTTTCAGGATCAAAGGTCATCTCTGAATCCAACTACCTAGATAGCTATAGCTATTTGCTACATCACTCTTTAAAGCAACACTTCAAGACAAAGCTCAAGTATTAACTATACAGAAGCACAGGGACAAAAAGCTAAATAGCTACAAAGTTTAATTTCCTTTCTTCCTAAAACAAACATATTACTGAATTTAAGAAGATTGTTGGTAAAATAATAAGATGTAAGTAACTACATAAACAAAAATTAATGAACAGAAGAATGGCAAATTAATACTTAATACAATAAATTTGATTTTAGAACAAAATAAAAGACAAATTCGAACAGTAAGTAACAATAAAGGCCCAAAATAAAAGACAGACTAACAACAACATAAGTCACATAAGACATACCTCTTTTATCGCACTTGCTAATGCACGAATCCGCTCACGAGGAAATTCGTGTAAACGTTGTTTATATATTTCCATCTTGGATAAAATGTCAACCATATTTCTCCTCACTGTTTTCACCCTCATGTTGTAATACATTTTCTTTTTCATCACTGTTGTCTGCAAACCAGAAAAGAAGAAATGAAGGAATAATTTGATTTGGACATGTTACACTGACCTCAGCCTTGAAGAAAGAGACCTTTGAACTTTGACTCCTTATATTGATTCAATTAAGGGCAGATTTTATTTAACTTTCAATTGACTGTAATATTAATGCATCAAGTATTGATTTTTGGAAAGGAGTCAGGAGGACGATAATCTGAGTTTTTAATCAGTAGCAGTGATCTACAAGTGAGAAGAGATGAGCTGACCTCGGCCATGTCCACAATAGACTTGCTGACGTCGTAAGTGTCCAGTGTTGCCAAGTGGGGCATGTGGTACAGTACATGTGTGGAGTAGTTACAGAGCAGGCTGACTGGCGCCGGCGAGTAGTTTGGGTCCTTCATACTTAGGCTCTTTAACTTGGACAGTCGCATCAGGTGGGTCAGGTCCTACAGGCAAATCATAACAAAATCATTTTTAATACATTAATATACATGTCGTTTGCTTGACAGGTGTCTTACTTATTGAACACAGTTTGAAGCTGGGCTTGATTAAGAGAAGAAATGATACAATATTAGTTCCAGACCATCAGTGATCAGACTGCTGTCAAATAGGGCTGAACTTCAAAGGCTATTCCTGGTTCAAAACTAACTTCTCTTTATTCAGCAATTTAAACAAAAATATAATATAATTTCCATGACAGTTGAATCATTGTAACAAAACAGAACCAATTTTAAAATAAACTATGATTATCTTTAGCTAGTTCTAATACATTAAGTACCGTACTTACCCGTAAGGATGATATGTTGTTTCCTGACAGGTTGAGGTCTTCTATACTCTGATTGGCATCTAACGTATGACCTAAATAAGGACATATACATGTATTAGTAGAATAGTTATGGATCTTATCAAGTAAGTTTATATTTCTATAAAATACAAGAATTTACAATATAATAGAATCTCCTTGCGACATATGTATTTTCTGTACGTCAAAAAGCTAAATTTGTAGACATAAATATTTCTTTCATAGAATATAATATGGAGTCAGCTTACATTACGTTATCATTTTGAGAGCAAAATTGACAAAATTTCCTGGTAACAAAATGACTGTATATGTTAAAACACTTACCTATTTTGGTAATACAATTTTGTGCAAGATTCAACTCTCTCAGTTTGCATAAAGATGAAAGGTTCTGAAAAAAGATATACACAAAGTGTCTTTCAATGTTAACACCAGGTCCATGGGACTGCTTTGCAAATATCGGGACTTAAAACCTTGGAATTTCTTAAAAAACAACCGGAAATTTTCAGCACATTTACCCCTATGACCTTGAATGTGGGCCAACATATTATAATACAAGTTTTGGGCTATATAATGGTTGTTTCATAGACTTTTACGCTCTTTTACAATTTAAGTTATTTGAATATCTTAATTATTCTCTATCATCTCATTTCACATTTACTATGGAATAGATCAGGGTTCCCCCTTATCTCTCCCCCATTCTACATGTACTACGCTGCCTACCTCTATGTGGACTATACTGTTGCTGTTGAGCCATAGCACCTCCAGGTCCACTAGGTGATCCAAATTCTCTATCTTACTGATCTTATTGCAAAATAAGTACAACTTCTGCAGTTTCTTTAAAGAACCAATACTTTCTATTCTCTACAAACAGAAGGAAACAGACTTACACAAATAAAAGTAACAATACTAAAACTACCAGTCGAATATGAACATTATTTTATACAGCTAGACATACTAGTACATATATGTAGAGTATTGTAATTTTCATAAAAAAGAAGACTGTTTTCATACTTTTATTTACAATGTTCTGTAACTTTTGGCTTCAAATGTGACATGGTGACAATATCAACAGTGTCATAATAAAGCCAGATCATTAATTTTCAAGAGTGATAACTGTAAGAAACTTCATACATAAAAACATTTTATAATGATGTAAAATCAAGTTTAATTTTCTAAATGTGACATTTATAATGAACTAGACACTGACCTTGACCTCTGTCTCGCTGATCCAGAGTTCCTTGAGGTTAGTTAGACATGACAGGCCCTCAATCTTCTGTATCTGTTGGTCGACAACGGTCAGGCAGGTCACGTTGGGGAAGTGTCTCATTGCCACAATCCTCGGCATCCCAGAGAAGAACATCTCAAGCACAGTACAAGTAAAAACCTCTCCATTCTCTATTTTGTTGTAATTTAGTCCATTAACACTGCACTGTAGGAAAAAAACAAAATAGATTCAGTTATTCAAAATTGACAAAACCATTCACATTAATTTTACTATGTTGAAATACATTTTTTATACTTTCGAGTTGTATTCAATGCTGATGCGTGTCTTGTTCTTCGTTTAGAACACTAATTCATACAATAACACAAAAAAAGGCAACTTGAAAACCTATGCGACAAATTACACAACATCTTATCTAAGAAACACTTACAATTTCCCTGAGTATTTCATCCTCCTCCTCTTTCATGGACTTTGGCTTGGTGGCAGACTGTGATGTGGAGCCTATGAGGGATCCTGTCTGCTGCCCACTAATTGTCCCCCCTGTCTCCATGGTGCTCCCTGAGGGCCGCAGCAGTCCTCCAGAACTGGACCCTGACAGGGACCCAGAGAGGGACCCATTAGACAATGACATCACGTCTCTGTTCGGTCCCAAGAGTGGCAAACCGGTTTACTTCCCATGGTAGGGTAGAGGTGTTTCAACATTTACTGTACAATACATATCCTATGTAATATCTGTGGCAATGTTGTCTTTCAGCTCCACCAATAACATCTTAACTAAACACCATCTGTAAGATCAAGTAAAACACCATCAGATAAATTCTTGCTACAAATTGATCAGCACATTTCAATCAAAACACCATGCAACCAAAGATTAAGTGCTTAGGTTTTGTCCTAATACTGAGTTTATTTCAGTGATCAGTTAAATCCATGTACACATTTTGGATTACTGTATGTAATGACAAACATACTATTCACCTGGTAAATTTGTAGAATGACCATAGGTAGTTCAATCCAAACACAGACTTTAGATTATATATATACATGTATTTATGGTAAATACTTTATGGATGTTTAATGTCTATAATACCAGACACAATAAAGAATACATAACATTTCAGCTTAACCTGTCTATTCTGGACTCAGGTGATTACAACCACTCGCTATGTGGACATTATACATGTATATAATTTATACAATATGGCAGCGCCTGTAACCAGGAAGTACCTTATAATATAGACTGGCTACCAGCCCCAAAGTTTTTATGAGGAATTTCTGTCAGGAATTAGCTCTAGGTAAAGCAAATGGTTCATGACTGAAATACATTAACCTCTATACCAGAATTTAATTTGAAACTTTGCATTTACTTCTTTATGATAATTTGTTTAAATGGAAAAATTGACAAAGATTTAACTTTAAGCAATATAAATTAAATACAGATAACACAGACTATACACAGTTACAATATATAATGAGTATTAACATGTGACATCGTGTTTTCCATCAACCAAGTTTGGTTTGAAAATCCATGAATAATTATATTAACCTTATTCAGCTAAAATGTTATGTAAAAATTAAAAGTATACAGCAATTAAATAGTCGGAGGCAAAGCTTGATGAAAATTAATTCAGACCCACCAGCTATAATAATATAGGTCCCCAGCTGCTTGACTGGAATTCAATTGCTAACACAAATTAAGCGTCTGGCATTGACATAGATTGACCAATGATAGCTCGTGTTACCACCCTACAATTTATTGTTTATGTTTTACGTCCTATTAACAGCTATGGTTATATTTAAGGACATGCCAGGTTTTGGTTGTGAAGGAAAGCCAGAGTTCCTTGAGAAAAACCACTGACCGGCGGCCAGTACCTAGCGACTGCCCCGCAACTCGGTGGTGGAGGGCTAGTCAGTAGTGGTAGCGGAATGTCAGACGCCTTAACCACTTGGCCTGACGTGGCCCCTACGTCACCACCCTACAAGTGAAGCGTTGATCTCAATTTATTATATTTGAAATGTACAGTAAATATTTGGTATTTCATTTGAAGTGATATATGCACCTCTAGCCCAGCCTCACACGATGACAATATTATGATGATCATCCAATCAAAATGTGCATCTAAAATTCAATAAGGGAACCACAAAGATGTAAGACTATAGCTATAGTGGATTGAAACATCTGTCTAACACCTAAAATACATGTATACAAACCAGTAAAATATTGAAAATTGTGTCATATAATAAAGTCCCAACATACAATCATGATCAGAAACCTGTAGTTGTCCAAGCTGATGTCCAATCCGAATTATACATAATGCAAACAGCCTGGTACGTAATTTCCATGAAAGAATCAATATCCACATTCACCTACTAGTACGTATATACTAGCTATATACATGTAGGTGAACAATTGGCAACCTGACATTTCTCAGTCATGCAGAATTAATGAACGACACCGGCAGACATTATTCCTCAAAGAAAATTTTAAAAATAGTCATCTGAAATATGATACCATCCACTTCAAATAGAATTAAAAACATACCGGTACACATCATTCAAAACATGTGTTTTTTTTGTAAACCTAGGTACACAGAATGTCACATCTATATATCTACTTACATGTATGTGCAGTTCAATCATACATGTTTATCGGTGAACTGAAATTCTTGAAAGGACTATGTATGGTTTGGGCCTGTTTTGGCTCCCAAATGCATAAAAAAAAATCAAAACCTTTAAATGAACTTTGAAATGGTAACTAAGAGAAAAACTAAGTGAAAACCTGTCAAAATTGACTGAATAATCAAATTTCAATAATTTATGCAAATATGACCTGGTTACCATGGCAGCCAAAATTGAAAACACAAATAAATGTTTACATAATAGTACTGGGGAAGTATTCAAAATTCAAGAAACAGTCGTTTGAAAGTTCTATTGCAGATTTTTAATTTGATGGATTCGGGGGCCAAAAAAGGCCCAAACCATACATAGTCCTTTAATTCCAATTTCCCTACTCGCTGTTCACAGTGGCTACATTCCAGTCTTTTAACACTGGGGATCTAAGTGCTGTTATAAGTGGCAGTATATACTATATAGCCATGTTTTTGTTTTATGAATAGTCAATGTGTATAATGACACTGAAAAAGAATTCCTGACACCTTAGATTATAATCCAAGATAATGAAATTAAAGTACCACATAGACCTACAATGCATTGTAGATATATACAAACCACTCCCGGTAAACCTATAAATCAAGATGCCACAATGTACATTGCCTAATTACTATACACAGGTATATATATTTAGTAAATTGAAAATTAAAGGCATACAAAAACCCATATCTCCCACCAGTTTGTTACTGAACAGTAAACAAATATATTGCTGATCAACATCTATTGAAAAACTTTGTTTGGAATGCTTTTATCAGTCAAGCATTGTAAAAAATCTAAAGATAACCGAATAACTTATACATGTATATACTTTTTGTATATAGCTAGACTAAGTATAGAGTGTTATGATGGCTATTACCTTTGGGTTTTTTCTCGACTCAGAAAAGGAGTACAATGTTCCTCTGAAAATCTGACACATTATCTCTTCACAATGTTAGCTCTCACTAGTACTGTTATTGCATATTACAGTTTATATGAGTTTCAATTTTATATATTATAGATTTATGGAACATGACCAATATTTTTTTTTCATTTTAATGAGCACCCTTTTTATCACAATGTATGATTCAAGAACTGTTTAGGCTATTGTTAACCTTTGTACCATCTTCATTAGTTCTTTGTCAGTTCGATCTTTTCTCTTCTTTCCTCTAATCTGTTTGATCGAGTCAAGTTAACAGTAAATGCACCTTGAGGTAACTTTTGATCTAAACTTAATACTGATGTGTATGAAAGCCAACCTTCAAAGTGAGTTTGTCATTTCACATATTTACTAGTACAGTACTTAATGTGAAAGAAATAGAATCGATCATTGCAATATGAGAAAGATCTGTTTAGTTCTTCTTTTAATCCATTTTGTTTTTATGATCAGTCTCAAAATATAACATACACAACGAGG